TGATGGTGAGTATCCTTCCCCTTTGTCCCTCTTTTGTTCCTATATTTTATTTTGTAATTTTATGGAGAGTAAAGGGAAGGTGGAGAAGGTCAATTTTAAGCTGCAGAGTAACTTTCTTAGAAAAGAGTCATATTTTTTCCATCTCTTCTATGGGATCTGACTTTCCCTTCAAGTTTTTTTGTCATGAGATTCTTTTTCTTAAATGAAAAGAAGTGAACCTGATATATTGGGCAGCATTGGACTCACTCACCCTGAAATATCAAGATGAAGTTCCTTTGACTAGGGCGAAGAGATCCAATCAGGAAGTTTAGCAATTCCTCTCCCTGAACAAAGGAGGGTTTCTTTTGAACACAGGAAAATCCAATAATCCGTCCTAGAAAGGCAAGTGTGCACCTGGTGTGGGAGTTCAGGGAGCACATGTGATTATTCCAGGACTAGGTGAAAGAAAACAAACTGTTTTAAGACCAGTAACCCAGAATGGCAAAGGGAAGGAAAAGGGAACAGAAAGCAGAGAGATATGTGCATACATATGTCATACATAAAAATCTGGTTGCTTTCGTTGAGAAAAGGGAGTTATAGGTGAGAATTGTGATGCACCACATTGTTGAGAGAAATGATTTAGTAAAAGCATATAATCAAATTATTAGAAGTTGATATTAGGTTGCTATTTTTAGATGATTGTTATTGCTATTTCTGTGGAAGTAAAACTTTATTAAGTAATGTGTGTAAACTGCACAGGAGGTCTGTTTGACTGAATATATGGAACTGGACTGGTAAAATACCATAGTGTGCAGATTACCTCAACAGCTGACACCAGGGCAACCATGGTTTCCGTTGACCATTCAGCTTACCAGAGGACTACTTTGTGGGAAATACATACCCCTTAGTTGGTAGCCTGGGATATTCTTAAGAGTGGGGACAACTGCTTGCACTCATATTGTTACTAGAGTGGAGCTCTTTTCTCACCTTTGTGTCTTTTAGCAGATATCCTCTCTTGGGGAATAATCATTCTTCCAAATAGATCTCATTTTCAACTTAATTTGTTGGAGTAAAGATGATGTTAAGTTTCCTGATCTCCACATATCCGCCCCACACCCCATAGTTCTCCCTTGTTCTGGATCAGAATATCTGTAGGCTTCTTTAATAGAACCTGTCACCACTCTTATTTTATCTATCTATCTATCTATCTATCTATCTATCTATCTATCTATCTATCTATTTACTTATTTTTCACCACTCTTATTAAAGCCCCAGAGTGACCATGACCAAAGGGATGCTCTATATGCTTGGGAATACGGGAGATTTAACAGCATTCTGCTTATTTGACATCAGTTAAGAGGCTAACTTTGTATCTCTATTTTTTGAGTATGGATGGGAACAACAAGGAAGTATAGAGAGAAAGGATATTATTTGTCTTGGAGAACAGGTTGAAAAGAAAAGTAGGTAAAAACCCTGTATCATGATGGGCTATTTCATTTCTGGGACAGAAAGGGAAATTGCAGGAAGTTTTGGGTAGATATGAGAATTTTCTAGTTAGAAAAGTGTTTGAGGATGTAATATCTTTGGAACCCTTACTTTGTAACTGACAATAAAGGTAAAATGTGAGGGCTTAGTATCTATGTGCCAGGTCAGGTGACCAGCAGTCCCTGTTTGCCTGAAATTGAGGGGTTTCCTGAGACACGAATTTCAGTGCTAAAGCTGGAACAATCCCAGGTGCACTAGGATGGTGGATTACCTTAGTACAGATTCTGTGCTATATATTCCACATATATTCTCATTTAATACTCCCAATAGTCCATGATAGATAAAAGTATTCTAGGTCATGTAGCTAATAGTGACAGAGCTGGGACTTGAACTGAGATGTCTTTAGAGCCAGACCAATTCATTATTAAGCTATATTGACTCTCCAAAAGGGTGGTGGAAGAGAACCATTTGATGTGAAGTTTTGACCCAGGATGGGGAGGTGGGTGGAATAGGTCTGTGATGAAATCTTTGTCTTGATAGGTTCATCCTGACAAAAATCATCATCCCCAGGCTGAGGAGGCCTTCAAGGTTTTGCGGGCAGCTTGGGACATTGTCAGTAACCCTGAAAGGCGGAAGGAGTATGAGATGTAAGTTGGAGATGGGAAATTGTCAGGTGGGATAAAGAATAACCTTCAATAGCAGAGGTCCCCAGACTTGGGGGTGGAGGCTCTCTGAAGTGGAGAGAATTGAGGTTGCTTGTCTTTCTAACAGGCCCAGGCCTTAAGAGGCCAATAGATCTGTCTCCTTTTATCCCTTGCTCAATACTCTCTGATTTACAAAGCCTTTCTTCCCTTAGGAAACGAATGGCAGAGAATGAGCTGAGCCGGTCAGTGAATGAGTTTCTGTCCAAGCTGCAGGATGACCTCAAAGAGGCAATGAATACTATGATGTGCAGCCGATGCCAGGGAAAGCATAGGTATGAAATAGAAATAGGACAGCCACAGCTTAGGGTCTGGGTAGCCAAAGACCTTTGTGCGTAGTATTGGTAGTTTGTGGGATACAGATGGTGAGTAAAAAAACCCTTAGGTTTCCACTTCTGCCATACTGTCAAAAGATTGGAGATTTGAATTAATAAGAAATAAAAGATACTTCTTAGCTTTAAGATAGAAGACTGACAGCAGGATGTGCATAGGCCTATGTAACAACTGCGTGAGATAATTTTAGATCGTTCAGCCACATTTGTCAGTTAATGAGACTATAGCAACATCACAGGCCTGACAAATTATTGAGGAATTATCCTCCTGTTGGATTGCAGAAGGTTTGAAATGGACCGGGAACCTAAGAATGCCAGATATTGTGCTGAGTGTAATAGGCTGCATCCTGCTGAAGAAGGAGACTTTTGGGCAGAATCAAGCATGTTGGGCCTCAAGATCACCTACTTTGCACTGATGGATGGGAAGGTGTATGACATAACAGGTACACTTTTGTTCTCTAGAAATACATGCTCATATATACTTACAACTGTGATGTATTGGTAATTATTTCTCTTGTTTGTAGAGTGGGCTGGATGCCAGCGTGTGGTAATCTCCCCAGATACTCACAGAGTCCCCTATCACATCTCATTTGGTTCTCGGATCCCAGGCACCAGTGGGCGACAGAGGTAGGCTGTATTTCTTTCAATAATTTACCCACTATTCTAGTTCTGAATATGGTTTCAAATGACATGGTGTTTAGGATACCTGGATGTCTCACCCTTTAAGAAGTCCAATAACTGACTCAATGTATATTTCTTCCTTTCTTTTTTTAAGATTTATTTATTTTGAGAGGGGAAGGGAGAAAGAGAAACATCAATGTGTGGTTGCCTCTTGAGCACACATGGTCCCTACTGTGGACCTGGCCTATAACCCAGGCATGATCTCTTACTGGGAATTGAATGGGTGACCCTTTGGTTTGCAGGCTGGCATTCAGTCCACTGAGCCACACCAGCCAGGGCTCGATATATCTTTAAATTAGGTATTAATAGGTGACCATTTAACTCTTAAATCTCTCATCTCATTATTCTGTCTTCCTCTCAGAGCCACCCCAGATGCCCCTCCTGCTGACCTTCAGGACTTTTTGAGTCGAATCTTTCAAGTACCCCCAAGACATATGTTCAATGGGAACTTTTTTGCAGCTCCTCATTCTGGTTCTGGGGCCACTGCAGCTTCCAAGCCAAACAGCACAGTACCCAAGGGAGAAGCCAAACCGAAGAGGCGGAAGAAAGTGAGGAGGCCCTTCCAACGCTGACACTTGTTTTCTTCTTTCCTTAAATCAATGTCAGGGAATCAAAAGGGCTGTGTACAGCACAGGATGGAGTTTGACTTATTTTTAATTATTTAAAAAAGGGAACATTTTAAGCTCAAATTGTTCACTCAGTACTTGTTGGAAGCCCCAGAATCACTCTTCCTCCTCCACCAGCACCCAGGAATTGAATCTTGTCTTCTGACAATACCAAAGAAATAGGGGGTGGCTAGAGCAAAGAACCTAGGGCATGGACCTGGACTGGATGTTACCTCCCATAGTAGGGTGGGAACTGGCTATTTCCCTGGTGTCTGTATGCCTTTGTCTTGTCTTTTGCTTCTACAGCAAATGACACTTTCCTCCTTTTTTTAAAATTACAAGTCTATTTTATTTCTTGACCCATTTCAGGAGGACCCCCCCCCCCTTAGCCCAATATACTAGTTAAGAGACAGTACAAGAAAATATGTAGCCCTAATTATAGGAGATACATAGAGTTCAGTGAGTGGGAACTCTGGATTTTTTTCTTTCACCTTGTGGGTAACTGCCCAAATTTATGCTTGTTGCTGCAGGGATGGCCAAAACTAATAATTTTTAAAAATCAAATTTATGCCCTCTGCCCTTGGGTGAGGGGGAAGGGTAAAGGGGCTCCTGGCAGCCTCTTTATGATCCAAGGGTTTGTATTTTTTTAAGTTTGTTCATATTTGTATGTACATAATCTATTTAAAGCCAGGGAATTATCTTTCTATAAATATATAACTGGCAACACATTTCTCCCTTCTCTTCTTTGCTCTTATAATAACTGGTATCCTTTTTCTCATTTGAGAATCCTTTCTTTAAGTGTTAGCTGAGAGTGAAGGGTACCTCCTACTAAACTGAGGAAGAGGGGATAAAAAACAGGAGATTTATGCAGTAAGTCACTGTTCTATCTTCTTTCCCCTGCCTTGTAAGGACATCTCCCTACTCTCCATGCTGACCACATAGTAGCCATATCTAAGAAAGAAAAAAAAAAAACCCTTTCTTTTAAGAAAAATACTTATAAAGTAAGTATAAAGGAAGATACAGGAATACTTAATCACCAAATAAACTGCCCAAACATGGCCTCCTCTAGAGGAGAGTTGTTTTAGTCCCTTACCTCACCTGCCTTTTCTGACTCAAACCTACTCGTAGCAGGGCTAGGCCCAGGGAGCCCCATTTTCCATTCTGCTTTCTTCCTGGGAGTTTGGGAATGGTTGTATAGTTCTCAAACTTTCAAGATACAGAAGACAGTATGGAGAAGAGAAAAATGTTACAGCCTTTTGTTCCAACGTCGTCCCCGGCCCCATCTTTCAGTATTTATTGATGCCAAAGAGACGAACCCCATGGAATTGGGGCAACTTAGGCAGCAGTACACTGAGCAGTGAGGCTGTATTGATGAGGAAGTGAGCAGCATCATACTTGGTATAGAAGCTGGCTAGGAGGTAGCTGGGGAGAAAAGAAACAGGTTGAGTGAAATTGGCTTTCCCTATCCATATTCATGCCTTCCCAGTGACTTTCTCTTATATGTTAAATGACCAGTCCTAGGATATCTGAAAGTATCTTAGGGGTCGGGAGATAATCAGCACCTCTAACTGGAGATTTGTTATAGTTAATGTGTTTAATTGTTAAAGACATATTGGCAAATGACAGCTGAAGCAGTTTCAGCTTCTATGACTGTTCAGCCCTCTTTGCTTCTACTCTCTAAAAAGTTTTCACAGATTTACATCAGTTCTGCCTTGATTTACTCACATCTTTTGGAAATGTAAAAATCATTTGGTTTTACTTGGTTTTCTCAGTCCTTTTTCCATTCTTCTACTACCAAGGAGGCAGCAAGGAATGCTTGATTATTGCCTTCTACATTTTTAAAGCTTCCCTGTAGGCCTTTGTACCTGGCTCTTGGAGTATTCACCATATCTCCCCTGGGACTCACAGTACAATAGGAGAGATGTTGAGGAATTTTCGGGAAGAGGTAAATTGGAGCCCATAGTCCATCTGTTCCCAGTGTGTCAGTAGCCGAGCCTTTCCTTGGTCAGGGGTCTCAAAGGGTGTCCCTTTCACCATATGTAGGAAAACATACATAGCCTGGGAAGAGAGAAAAGAGCAGTTTGAAGGGGCAGAATGTAGTTCTTTAGCCCAAGAATTAAGATTCTCAAAGGAAGATGAGTATCCCCAAATGTCTGGGGATTTGATTTTGTTTTTGGTCTGGGAAAGGCCTGGGGTGGGTATAGGGTGTGGTTTAATGCTCACCAAATTATGGATGACATTAGTCAGGGTCCAGACGACAGGAATGCTGAAGAAGGGGATGCTGAGTAGAACCACATGCAGCAGTCCTACCAAGATGATGTAGGCCAGCCAGATGCCCCTGCTATTCATCACTCGAGTGTTGGGGTTTACTTCACTGTGTGCCACCCCCACATTCATCCTACCACAGTGGGGGATCAGGCAGGAGTCTACCTCAATTTCCTCTCAACACCTCTTTGACTTTTTTCTCCCAACACTACCTCCTGAATAGCTCAAATCTCCTAAACTCTATTGGGAATGAAAGCACATCCCCATCGTGCACAAAGGAAAAACTGAAGACTGCGGGGGGGGGGGGGGAGGGAAGGTCAGAAGAGTCCACTCCACGTCTTAGGGACCTGGTAATCTGATAGTCTGATTCTTACACTTCAGCTGTAACTTGCAGGAGTGAGTCTAGGCGTCGGGCACCCGCTTCAAGGAACATGGGAAACAGAAGTATCTCACTTTTTTCCTGAAGAAGTTAATGAAGCATGAGGAAGTTACATACACCCAGCATTCCAGAAGAGGGTCATGGGAAACAAGAATTCATTCATTAAGAAGGGGTGAGGGGGTAACGTTACTTCCAATCCCCACGTTTAATCTGGGGCTTGCCCGTTCTGCTTCTCATCCCCTTAGCATGTCAGCGGTCAACATCCCAATCCCTTCTCTCAAGCATGAGGCATTAAAAGAATTTACCCAGAGTTTTGGGGTTGAGCTTCGAAGGAACTTTAGTTGAGCGCCCCCAGATGGTGTCTTAGCCCGAATCTAGGGGCAGCTCATTTCGTCTAAACTTGGCTCCTTAAAATCGTACTAGTCAAAGTTGATCATGCCTAGTTAGGAAGCAGTTCTTGCCTGCCCTTCTCTACCGAAAATTTCCTAAACCCTAATCCCGAGTCTGCCCCAAGCTCCTCGTAAGTCGGCTCTCCTCAGCGCTTTTCTCTTAGTATTTAACTCGCCTCCGCTCACCGCCCGCCTCCCCTTTCGCCTCCCACCATTTTTTTCTCTCGGAAGCCCCTACCTGCAAGCTTTAGAAGCCCGTCGGCTACGGTCGCAGCGCTTGCTCCAACACCTGTAGTCTCCAGGAAGCAGTCACCCTCACCCGTCTGCAGTCTCCCTATTGGTGGAACAGAATTAGCGCTGGCGCCACCCATTGGCTGGCGGTCTGCAGTGGAGATGCACAATTGGTTGCCCTCTCCGTCGTTCTGAAGGTGCAGAACCCGCCCCCTCCCTGCCCCACCTTTTGAGAGAGGTGGGGAAAGCTGCCTGAAGGCGTGAGAGGGACGCCAGCTATTGACTAATGGGAAGAGTGAATGGTATGAGGTGCTAGTAAGAGTAGCAGTGATTGGTTGGCCCTGGTTGTCCGCTCCTAGGCGGGAGCTCCTGGAAGCGGAGGCAGCGGGAGGGGACCTTGTGGAGTAGAGGGGTAACAAGATGGCGGCGGAGACGGTAGAGCTCCATAAACTGAAGGTACCGTGAGCAGGAGAAAGGGCTGGCTTGAACTTTTCAGGGGACTGAATTCTGCGGGGTGGCTTGTGCTTTTCCTACGTGTTCTCCTTGTAGGCTTTTCCACTTTTTGCTGGCTTTCTCTGTAGTTCTTTTGTGCCTCCCTTCTTCCTCACTACGCCTGTCCTAATTTCTCATGCTCCTCACGGTTTTATTGTATCTGTACTTGTTATTTCTGCCCTTTTCTTCATCATTGTATGGTCCGTCACTTCCACCGGGTTGTGTAAGTGCCTTCAACCTGTTCTCTCCTTGTTTTTCGACAGAGATGCATTACGTCAGTGGTTCCCTCCCCTCTGCCCCATGCGGGACCCAGCACCCCTTTTCCTTCCCTGGGTTGATGCTTTCCTATCTGTTATCCCAAGCTGAGATTCCCTTTAGCAGAGGTTGGTGTCTTTGTGTATTTCTGTCTATCTAGGTCTCAAACATGATCCAGAAAATATTTCCACTCCCCCCCTTTTTTTTTTTAAAAGATGGGGTTACGCCCCCGGGGGGGTGACTGAAACTTGAGGGGGGGGCTCAGAATATGGGTCTCCCCATAGACACTTGGGGTTTAAGGAGCTTTTTAGAATTAGTGAAGGCACAGATAGCTCGGATTTAAAAGTTTTTCAAATTTTCTCACGCGGTTCTCTGCCCGCCAGGCTCCTCCCCCACCGCCCCACGCCTCCGACTCCCTACCGGCAATACAGACAACTCAGATGTAGCTGCGATATTTTAAAAACATTTCCAAGGTTAGAGTTATCTCTGTCCCCATTTCATGTCACGTATGTATCCTGCATCTCTTGGTATCACCACTGGGTGACACTCAATCACCTGTTTTAAGTTGTGTCTAGGGAACCTTCATAGCTTTCTCACATTTAGATTATTTTTTTCCTGGGAGAAAAAAGTAGTTTCTTTTAGGGTGAATTATGAGAATATCGTGTCCATTTGTGGTTTCGTAAGTATTTTTCCCATTAAATGTTTTGATCACATCGTCCTGGAAACCTTGGACAAACCAGGCTGATTTTGCTGGGGTTGCAAACTGCTCCTTTAAAGTTTGCTGATCTTAAAAGCAAAAAAAAGTAAGGAGAGTAATGGTAGGGCGAGATTCTTTTGGTTACTTTTTAGTTGGCATCAATTAGATTTTTTTTGAAAGCTGATGGATTTCTTACTCTTGGATTCTAATCTGTACTAGGGCGTTTTTGTGTCATTCTGGTCTTTTGTTAATTTAGTGGTACTGAAATGGGTGGATTATATCAGTGGTCTCCTATTACCAAAAGTAAAGAAACTGGTCAACCACTTCCATTGCATATATGCTTATGCAAATTATGTGCTTCCCTATGTCAAAGAACATACACAGAAAAGGGATTTTTGAATGAATGCGATAAAAAGGAAATATAAATAGAAAATGAAATACTGTCTTCCTATCAGTCCCATTTTTGAAACTCTTATAGTAAGGCACCAGCCTTGTGACTTTCCTTTATGGATTTTGTTTTGGTTTATGGAGTTTCTCCTTCCATAAAAGATCTGTTTTTTTTTTTTTTTATTTTGATTGGATGATGTCCTCTGACCTGATTTCTAGGGTCATAGTCTAAGAGAACATGAGGCACTCCTGACAGCCTAAAAAGGATTCATTCTTTTAATCACATTTTGCTTGTCTTTGCTTTTTCTCTAGAGCACTTCTTAACATTTTGGAGGTCACAGATATCTTTGAAACTCTGATGAAAGGTATGGACCCTCTCCCCAGAAAAAGGCATGTACACATACTTTGCATGCGATTTGAGAGGCTTCATAAAATTACCTTGTAGCCCTGAGGAGTCCTTGGACCTCTGGTTAAGAATCCATGCCTTTAATTCTGACTTCTAGGACAGCTAATGTTTGTTTCCACTATTGATCTTGATGGAATACTCTTGACTTGGGTTGATTTAAAGTTTTTATCTTTTTTCTTTAAAGCCTTTCCATTTTTATAAAGAAATTTTTGGCTTTTAAAATGGGATCTCAGAGACAAGGAATAAGCTTTGAAGTAGGAAGGAAGAATATCTGATTTGAGAAGTCCACATCAACTGCAGAGTTTTCAAGATTTTGTAGAAATGCCATCATTCTAATGCAGTTATAGACACTGAATTGGGTGAAAATGCTTTGAACTGTATTAGTATCAGATTTCCGATCAATGGTGGGAAAAGGGACTATTGTAGAGGAGAAAATGAGAAGTGTATACTAGTCTGAGAGTGTCGAAAAACACATGTAATTTTGAAGTATAAAGTGCATATATGTCGGAGATTGAAGACCTTTAGTAAAAGGAACTAGGTGAATTGTGTGACTAAAGGTAGAGTGAAATTGAAAAGGGCCTTTTAAGTTGTGTTTGGCATTTGGTTTTTGTCATGTACACATAGAGGGGGGAGCCTTTGGAAATTTGAAAGGAGGAGCTGATATGATGATCTATGTGTGTTCTTTGGCAATATGGAGGATGGGGTATGGAGAGGGAGAGATTTCACCAGTTATATTTTTATTTACTATACTATTCACTTCCTGCTTAAAATCTTCTAATTTTATACCTGCCAATCTCTCCAGCCTAGTTTCTCACACTCCAACCATATAGGCTTTATTTTATCTCATTCCTCAGTGTGAATGTGTTCATTAATTGCTGACACATAGCATTTACTATGTGGCAAGCACTCATCAAAGCTATTTACATACATTAATTCATTTAATTCTCAAAATAACCCTGGAAAGTAAATGCCCTTATCCCCATTTTAACAGGAGGAAAAAACAGAAGCCCAGAGAGATTAACTGAGTAACTTGCCCTAGATCCCACAACTAACAGTGGTAGATCATATCCAGGCAGTCTGTCTCTAAAATTCATGTTCTTAATTGTTGTTCACTGCTTGCCTCAGAAGTCAGAACCCTTACAGGGGTGTCCAACCTTTTGGCAGCTCTGGGCCACACTGGAAGAGGAAAAGTTGCCTTGGGCGGCTACATATTAAGTAAATTGTGACATATAATCACAAAAAATCTCATAATGTTTTAAGTAAATTTACAGTTTTGTGGTAAGCCACATTCATAGCCATCCTGGGACATGTGTGGCCTGAGGGTCGCAGGTTGGACAACCCTGTAGGCTTACAACATGCTTTTGGCTGCAGTGCTCCTGCCACCCACATTCCCTACGTCTTCATCTAATTAACTACTAGTTGTCATTCAGATGTCAATCATCTACCCAAGGAACCCTTAGGTAGGATAGGTTCTCCTTATTCACATGGTCAGACCACTTTTTAAATGCCTTCATAGGACTCTACTTTAAAAAAATATATCAGTTAAGTATTATGTACATGATCATTGATTGCCTTGTTTCCCTACTAGGTTGTAAGCTTCCTGTGGGCAAGAATTCTGTTTTTGCTTATGATTGTTTCTCTGTATCTAAAATAATCCTTGACATGCAGCAGGTACTCAATAACTAGTTACCAAGTAAATAAACTTAGTAAGACTTGAAGTAAGGTAGTAGCTACTTTGAATGGGATGACTTTAAAAGAAATTTGGGATATAGAATTTTAAGTATTTACAGGTCAGTTAGATGTGGGTGTAATGAAAGATGACACCAAGTTTGAGTAGTGATACTTTTAGTCTAGGTTGGGAGGAAGAGAAGAAGCCAGTTTTGTGCAGTGGAGAACTTCAGTTTTGGACTTAAGTGTCTTTGAGACATACACTTGGAGATATCTGGTAGTCAGTTGGAAATGTGGGTCTCCTGCTCAAGAGTTGAGAGTGGATAATAAAGGTTTGGGACTTAACTGAAAATAATATTTATATAGTGCCTACCATGTGCCCACTAACATAGGTTCTGGAGATATAGCAATGAACAAAGCAGACAAAATTCTTACTGTTGTGGAGCTTATGTTTTACTGGGGGAAGGCACGATAAAGTAAAATTTATGGTATGTCAAATAGTGATAAGGTCTGTACAGGAAAACAGGATAGGGAATACAGTGGGAAGAAGGGTATTACAATATAAAATACGGTGACTAGGGAAGGCCTCATTGAGAAGGTGATGTTTAAGCAGAGACTTGAAGGGGGTCAAGCAGGGAACTGCATGCAAAGTGTTATAAGAGAGCCTTATAGGTGATTGTTAGGACTCTGTTTTGAATAGAGGGATGACATGTTCTGACTTAAGTTTTCAAAAGATCACTTTGACTTCTCTGTTAAGAATATACTATAATAAGGTGCAAGGGCTGCAGAATTTTTATAAGAATCTGGATTTAAAAAGACCAGAAGGGATTAGATTCTAAATACATTTTGAGGTTAGAGCTGATTTGCCAGTGATTTGATTCTGGGAAGTGAAAAGCCTTTTATACAAGTGAAGTGAGAAGGCCAAAGAAGGAATCTTAGTAAATTTTGAATTTACAGGGTTGAGTAGAAGAAGAGCTAGTGAGCTAGCAAGGAGACTGAGAAGAGGTTAAGAGGAAAATAGAGAGTTAGATAGAGTATGCATGTGAGAGCAGTTGTTAGCATCTTGGTAGTTAAGGTTGGGCTTAAATCAGAGAGACCTGAGCTGGCATATTGGCTCCACTATTTTCTAGCTGTATGATTTTTAAGCAGATTATTGAATCTCTAAGCCTCATTTTTTAAACTTATAAAATGGGATCATAATACTTAGGTTTGATGTCAGGATTAAGTGAGGAAATAACATTCAAACTATAGCATATATTAGTACTTAAAAATAAATTTGAGTTTGTTGTGTGAAATGTTATAAATAATATGAAATGTCTCTGCCCTCAAAGAGTTTACATATCATATCAAGAGATAATAGATGAAAAAGCTTTGAATCAAAATTCAAGACTAGCAAACAGAAGAAATCACAGGGAAGTAAGTGATTAATGTTAACTGTATTATGTAGTCCATTGATTGGTCTTTTCTCTGTAGGTTGGATAGATAGACTAGAACATGCCTTACTGGTACTAGAAAATAAAATTTTAGAAATAAATTTTGGAGTAGGTCATTCATGTACAAGTTCATGATTCTAAAGGCACAGAATTGTATATGGTAAAGAGTTTTCTTCCTACACTTGCCCTTAACAAGCTTCTTCTCCCAGTGTTAACTTACCTGTTTCTTGTCCGGGCATCTTGTGTATATACATCACTTAGAGTGAGGGGGGTGTGTGTGTGTGCCTCTGCTTTTTTTTTTACAATGACATTAAAGTTAGTATGATGTATATAGTGTTCTATAACTTGGTCTTTTAAAATAATCTTACTGAGATATAATTCACACACTATTCAACTCACTCAATATAACTTGCTTTTTATTTTATTTTTTAGTATTTAAAAAAATCATTTATTTACTTTTTAGAGAGAGGGGAAGGGAGAGAGAAAAGGAGAGAAACATTGCCTCTTGCATGCCCCCTACTGGAGATCTGGCCTGCAACCCAGGCATGTGCCCCGACTGGAATTGAACCAGTGACCTTTTGGTCACAGGCCAGTGCTCAATCCACTGAGCCATACCAGCCAGGGTTCAATATAACTTGCTTTTTAAATAAGCTCTTTTAAAATATTTTAAAGTCACCCTGGTGTAGCTCAGTGGATTGAGCATGGGCTTCGAACCAAAGGGTCGCTGGTGCGATTCCCAGTCAGGGCACATGCTTGGGTTGCAGGCCAGGTCCCCAGTGGGGGCCACATAAGAGGCATCCACACATGGATGTTTCTCTCCCTCTCTTTCTCCCTCCTTTCTCCTCTCTCTAAAAGTAAATAAAAATTTTTTTAAAATAAAATATTTTAAAGTCAGATACATATCGAAATGGGTACAATTTGATATTACAAGTTAGTTATTATTTGAGTCTTTAAAAGATTTTTGTTTTACTATTATCATAATTGTACCCAAATGAAATGTGCTAGAAGAAATGACTTCATTTTCAGCTGTTTTGTATTTTTACTTATCTGTATTTCTTTTGAAACTTATGTCCCAGTATATGAGCAGAACCCACCATATAATAACTAAAGTCATATTACATGTAAAAACCACATGTAACATTTTTATTTGACCAGTGAAGGGATGGGGCGGGTTGGGGGAGTGCTGAGAAGACTGCTGAATGAACCAAAGACTTGAAGTTAGGAACTGGGAGCCAGTGGGGGGGCTGAGATTTCAGTGACCAAAGGTAATAGTAAGGTCAGTGGTCAGCAGTGATGAAATGTTACACATGTAAACAACCAGTTGTACCATTCAGTCTGCTCTGAGTCTAGATGAAACTATATCAGATCAGCTCCCTGTGCAGAAACCATCTGACTACATTTCCCTTTCATTTGGAAGTTTCTGTAAACTTTGTCTAGGCACAGTTCTGGGAAGGAAGGAGAAGGGAGGAAACAACTTTCTTGCTAGAAAGTGGAATTTGAGTCGCCTATTTACCAAAACTGTTACTTAAATGGGGTTGGGGTGAGGAATTGAGCTTCTGAAGATTAGGAGTTACAGAAAATAAGAAGCTATAGTGCTTTGCAGACAACCAACCAACACCACCTGAATACACACACACAAAATGATATATTTAAAGTGTTAGGACTTCCAGTCAAGATGGAGATGTAGGTAAACATGGCTCATCTCCTTGCACAACCATAGCAAAAATTATAACTAAAATACAAAACAACTGTCACCCAGAATCATCAGAAATGGAGCTGTGTGGAAGTCCAACAGCCAAGGAATGAAAGAAGTCATATTCATCCAGATGGGTAGGAGAGGTGGAGATGTAGAGCTGGCAGTCTCACACCTACATGTGGTAGATAAAAATTGGGACGTATACCATGGGAACAAGGGGTCCCAGCCCCAAACTAGAGCACCCATCTCAAGGGTGCATTGTCAGGAAGCTAAGTCCTCATTACTTCTGGCTGCAAAAACCAATGGAGGTTGGGGTGGTGGAAGAAACTCTGATTCTCAGGTGTCTCCTCTTAAAGGACCCGAAACAAAATCAGGACATTTGCAGATTTACTCCCTCTGGGCTCCAGCAGCTGGAAGGGGCACCAGTGGCACAAGGGGAGAAACTAAAGTTTCTGGCATCAGGGTGAATGCCAGGGAACAGCTTCCTCCTGGACAAAACCCTAGAGGCCAGGCAGTGGCCATTGTCCCTTTTCTAACACTTTTTTTTTTTTTTAAAGATTTTATTTATCTTTAAAGGGGAAGGGAAGGAGAGAGGGAGAGAAACATCAATGTATGGTTGCCTTTTGTGCATCCCCTGCTGGGAACTGGCCTGCAGGGAACCAGCCTGCAACCCAGGCATGTGCCCTGACTGGGAATCGAACTGCGATCCTTTGATTTGCAGGCCCGTGCTCAATCCACTGAGCTACACCAGCCAGGGCCCCTTTTCTAACACTTTTAAAGTGCTTACTAGGTGCCAAGCGCTATTCTATAATTAATGCTTTATAAACATTTGCTAATTTAATTTTCATAATAACTCTTTGGTAAAGGTACTGTTGTCTTATCCCCATTTCATGAGAAACTGAAGCACAGAGAAGTTAAGCTTACACAGCTTTAGTGGTAAAGCTGGAATTTAAACCCAGGTAGTCTGGCTTCAGAGGTCATGTTAGCCTGTGCAGTCACTCCATACTCCTCTCGCCACCCCAAACCCCCTCAAGAAGCCAGCACATGTATTGGTGCTTGTTTAAGTTCTCCAGGTCTGCAGGCTTCTTGGTTTCACTTTTTGTGGGGGAAGAAAGCCCAAGGTCAGTAAAGGCCATAGGTGATGCCTCCAAGACACAGTGCCCACAGTGCTGTAGTCAGTTTGTACAGAATATTGTCGTTTTCCCCACCCTGTGACTGCACCCAGAAGGTCATTGTCAGCCTGGAAGGGTTTCTGTTCCTCAGCTACTAGGTTCTCCAAAGCATTTGGAGAATGCTTTCTTTCTACTAGGTTCCAGGCATTTGAACCCAAGAAGTGAATTGGTGCTTGGGAAACCTGCGTGGCCTTCATTCTGCATAGTCATCTTGAGTTGGAGTCCCTTTCCTGCCACTCCACACTTTTAATGGTTGATTATCTACCATATTTTCAATAGAGAGTGCTATGGGTCTGTTGAGTAGGTCAATTCTTTACATCTAGGATGGGGCAAAAGTAGATCTGTGGTTTTTCATATGGAAATTAATACTCTGATTATTAACAGTACAAGTATAAACTTTGTTTCACATACTCACAATGGTAAACCTACTTTTGCTCCACCCTATATTATTCCTGCCTGCATGTCCCGCTCAACTGAATATTCCATCCAACCAGTTATTGTAAGGAGGGAGAAAAGCTGCTTCTCTCCATTTTCAAAAAGTTCTTTCTTCTGTAGGAATCTGCTTTCATACTTCTACTGGTTGGCCTATAATCTATACTTCAAAACAATTAAAATCTTTTTTCAGGGCACTGATTTGCATATAGGGTTTCTGGAGCTTTCCTTTTCCTTCTTGTTTTCTTTGGGTTAGCATATCATTATGCTTAAATAAGAATCTGGAGCCCAGCAAGGCTATTACATCATTTAATATATTCTATTTTTCAGTTAGCCATAACCTAGAATTATTTTGGTAGCAAATCATATTGTTAACCTTCCGCACTTAATAATCATCTAAAACCCTGAGGTCTTTATTCTTTGAGTACTGTTGAGCCAGATCTTGCTTATCTGGTTTTAGAACAATTTAAATTTAGAATATTATTATAGTACTTTTATAGGTGTATCTTATTCCTTCTAAATTGAATCTTTATTTTTGACTCATTGTTCTCCCTAAAGAGCTCCCCCCTTACTTACCCTTAGCTTAGTTCTGTCAATAATCCATCAGTTCTTCCTCCTTCTATTGTCTGCAGAGTTGGTAAGCATACCCGTTATATCTTTATAACGAGTACTGATTTTAAAAAATCTTCAACAGAACTCTGGCATGCATTTAGATATTTTTTCCATTTTGACACAGATCTTTTAATTGATTTATTGTTGACATTAACCTGGCTAACACATTTACCTAATTCTATAGTGGTCAGACTTGAATGCATATTTAGGGAAGATTTCAGTGAAAGGTCTGGAATAACAGAAGAATGTGCATTTAGATAATTAGATTTTATACCTAAAGATTCTTTTCCATTAACTAGCTGGTACAGTAATTTTAGGGAGGAAAATCTTTTTCTATCAAAAATGCTAAAGATTTGTAATAATAAGTAGTTGCATGAATAGATCAGAATTTTATTACAGTAGGATGTTTATTCTTCATCATGTGTTAGAAAAGTCCTCTTACATATTGAGTATTAGAAAAAAGTGGACTATCTTCATGGACCTAGAGGCTTGGTGGGATTAAGAGCAGTTGTTTGGGATTGAATTTACTTTTTTCTTTTTTGTGAGAACTATAGTTGATCCTTGAACAATATGGATTTGAACTATTCAGGTCCATTTATACTTGGATTTTTTTTTTCAATAAATACATGCAGTACTGTAAATGTATTCTATTATTTTATTAATGATATTTTCTTTCCTCTAGCTTACTATAAGAATATAGCATATAGTAATACGCAAAATGAGTGTTAATTGACTTTATCGGTAAGGCTTCCAGTCAGCAGTAGGCTATTAGTAGTTATGTTTTTTTAATGTGTTTATTAATTCAAGAGAAAGAGAAACATTGATTTGAGAGAGAAACATCAATTTGTTGTCTCCCATATGCATCCCAACTGGGAACCAAACCCCCAATCTTTTGGTGTACAGGACAACACTCCAACCAACTGAGCCACACTGGCCAAGGCAGTAGTTACATTTTGAGGGGTTCAGAAGTTAGACACGAATATTTGACTACATGGGGTGTCAGCACCTCTAACCTTGCATTGTTCAAGGGTCAGCTGTACCTTTTTTTTTTTTTAATACCAGATTCACTGTTTTAACTAAGGAAAAGTTTTACTCTTTTGTTTCTCAGCTTGCTGAACTAAAGCAGGAATGTCTTGCTCGTGGTTTGGAGACTAAGGGAATAAAACAAGATCTCATCAACAGGCTCCAGGCCTACCTTGAAGAGCATGGTGAGTGCTTTCTGGAGTTAGAGTGGTATGCCTAAGGGTACTGATTTTTAGGCTCTGCCATATGGAAGATTTCTTTTTTTCCTTTACGATTTTGGTAACATAAACTCTTAATTAGCTATATCAAAGTGGTTATAATGCGAAGAAGCACTCCCCCCCCTTTAATACATTGCAATTTTATTTCAGCAAATTATTTAAAAGAAAGTATGGTAAAACAAGTATCATTAGCCTGAGAATTGGAAGATATGACTTCTGATTCCTCTTGTGCCAGAAATTTACTAGGTAACTTTGGACAGTTACTGTTTACATGGCTTACTCTTTACACTTGTCTGTTCTGATCTATGAAATGGGACAAGTGTCTCTACCCTTGAAATTCATGAACTTAGGTAACCTCTAGTTCTGACATTTTATAATTCCACCTTTTTATTTTTTGAAGATTTTATTTTATTTATTTTTAGAGAGAAGAAGGGAGGGAAAAAGAGAGAGAAACAATATGCCAGAGAAACATTGTTTGGGTGCTTCTTGCATGCCCCCAGCAGGGGACCTGGCCAGCAACCTAGGCATGTGCCCTGACTGGGATTGAACTGGCGACCTTCTGGTTTGCAGGCCAGCGCTCAGTCCACTGAGACATACCAACCAGGGCTAATTCTGCCTTTTAAAAAAATTTCAGCCCTGGCTGGTGTACTCAGTGGATTGAGCGTGGGCTGTGAACCAAAGGGTCACGGTTCAATTCCCGGTCAGGGCACATGCCTGGTTTACAGGCCAGGTCCCTAGTGCACGCCATGTGAGAGTCAACCACACATTGATGTTTCTCTCCCTCTCTTTCTCCTTCCCTTCACCTCTCTCTAAAAATAAAAAAGGAAATAAAATATTAAAAAATAAATAAAAACAATTTCATTGCCTGGGTCTGGTGGCTTAGTTGGTTGGAGCATTGTCCTGTATAGATTACAGGCTCCATCCCCAATCGGTGTGTTTATGGGAGGCAATTAATTAGTGTTTCTCTCTTCACATCTATGTTTCCAGCTCCCCTCCCTCCCTCCCTCCTCCTCTCTTCCTCTCTCTAAAGTCAGTAAACATATACTCAGTGGAGGATTTAAGGAAAAAGTTTAAACAAAGAAAAAGACCACTTTATTTAAGGCATACTGTTATCCCAGGTTGTACAAGTTTCCTCTTTAATTTTAGTTATTCCATTTTATCCCCATTTATTTTATCCCATCTGCCTTAAACAACTGTTCTTATTCGTTCGATATATATTTTTTGGTCTCTAAGTACTGTGGGGTTTTTATTCATTCATTCATTCATTTTTAGAGAGGGGAAAGGAGGGAGGAAGAGAAGGAAACATAAATGTGTGGTTGCCTCTAATGCCCTATACTGAGGACCTGGCCCACAACCCAGGCATGTGCCCTGACTAGAAATAGAACCGGTGACCCTTTGGCTTGCAGGCCGACACTCAATCCACTGAGCCACACCAACCAGGCTGTGTTTTTTTGTTTGTTTTTTTAAAGATGTATTTGTGAGGCCTGTGGCTATGTTGTCAGTCTATTCATTCCAATTTCTGTATAGTATTCTATCATGTATAGAATCTACCACATTTTATTTCACCCAGTGATAGACATCTGTATTGCTTCCTGAACTACTTATGTCATGTTCCTTAATATTCTGTGTGAGAGTATTTCTGGGATTTATATCTTGGGTTGCTGATAAATACCTTTTTATAAATGTATACTTACTATGACTAAGCACTGCTAAATTCCTTTACAGAATTTGCCCTATAAATCTATAGAGTGCATGAAGGTTCTTGTCTTGCCTCCACAAATCTATCCTATCCTATCAAGTAGCCTAATTTGTACTAATCTGCAGGTTGTTTCAATTCCTCTAGTTATTTCTCTAGTTATTAAAAAGTTTAAGGACTTCCGCCAAGATGGCAGCATAGGTGGAGACGCTGTGCTTCCTCACACAACCAAGTTTAGACACAACGAAATTATAGCAACAGAAAACACAGCCAGAACACAGAAAATTGAACTTTTCAGAAGTCTGATAACAACAAATTCTTCAGCCTGACCGGTAAGAGGGGCGAAACCAGCAGCTGGCAGAGCAGGGTTGCACAGGAAAACTCGGTCAGATGGACTCAGGCGCAGGGTTGGATCTGGTGGGCAACTCAGCAAGCAATCGCGGGGAAACAGCGAGGGAGCTGGGCTGCGGGTTGACTGTGGTCGCGCATTTGTGTGTGGACAGACAAGCGAGGCAGTGGGCAATTGGACGAGAGCCAGCAGCCCCAGCGGCAAGGGGCAGCGGAGGGCACCGCCATTTCCCCGCTCTAACCCCGCCTCCACATACAGCGTCATAATCCAGTGACCTAAGTGGCCCTGCCCCAGTGAACATCCTAAGGCTCTGCTCCTCACCCAGCAGCGAGAAACAGCAGAGGGGGCTGCCATTTCCCCGCTCTGACCACACCTCCACATACAGCGTCACAACCCAGCAACCTGGGAGTCCAAGGCTCCGCTCCTCAGACTTAACGGGAGCAAACAGACCAAAAATGGCTTAAGCCATTTATAGCCCCAGAGCCTATAAATCTAAGCGATGAAGAAATAGCAAAACTCTCAGATGCACAGTTTAAAACATTGGTGATCAGGATCCTCACAGAACTGGTTGATTATAGCCACAAATTAGACAAACATATGAAGGCGAAACTAATTGAAATGAATGGACTTGCACAGGAAACCAATAGCAATGAAAAGGAAACTGGGACTCAAATCAATGGAGTGGACCAGAAGAAAGCAAATAATGGCCAAACAGAAGAGTGAAGAAGCAAGAATTCAAAATAATGAGGAGGGGCTTAGGAAACTCCAGGACATCTTTAAACGCTCCAACATCCAAATTATAGGGGTACCAGAAGGGGAAGAGGAACAGTCACCAGTGGAAACCTTATTTGAACAAATAATAAAGGAGAATTTCCCCAATCTGGCAAAGGAAATAGACTTCCAGGAAATCCAGGAAGCTCAGAGAGTCCCAAAGAAGTTGGACCCAAGAAGGAACACACCAAGGCACATCATCATTACATTAGCCAAGATTAAAATGAAGGAGAGAATCCTAGAAGCAGCAAGAGCTAAGGGGACAGTCATCTACAAAGGAGTCCCCATCAGACTGTCAGCTGATTTCTCAAAAGAGACCTTACAGGCAAGAAGGGGCTGGAAAGAGGTATTCCAAGTCATGAAATCCAAAAACCTACAACCAAGATTGCTCTATCCAGCAAAACTTTCATTTAGAATGGAAGGACAGATAAAGTGCTTCTCAGATAAGATCAAATTCAAGGAGTTCATCATCACCAAGCCCTTATTATATGAAATGTTAAAGGGACTTATCTAAGAAAAAGAAGTTAAAAAAAAACATGAACAGTGAAAGGACAACAAACTCACAGTTATTACCAACCACATCGAAAACAAAAGCAAACTAAAGGACAGCTAGATCAGGAGTGGAAACATAGAAATGAAGATCTCAAGGAGGGTTAGCAAGAGGGGAGTGGGAGGAGGAGAAGGGGGGAGAAGGTACAGAAAATAAGTAGCATAGACAGTAGATAGAAAATAGATGGGGGGCAAGAATAGCATGGGAAATATAGAATCTAAAGAACTTGAGACACATGGTCATAAGGGGGGGTAATGGGGACGGGGGGTAGGGTGGAGGGGAATGAAGGGGGAATAGAACAACTGTAACAGCATAATCAATAAAAAATAAATTTAAAAAAGTTTAAACATTTCTCATGTTTATGGTTATTTGGGTTTCTCCTTTGCTCATCATTGTCTTGGGGTTTTCATCATTCACTTGTTACTTTGCAAGCCTTTTTTTTTTTTTTTTGCAAGGCTTTTATATTCTAATAACTATTTCCTCATTTAGACACTAATATCTTCTTTGTAATTTGTATCTTTTTCAATGGTGTTTTTCCTTAGTTTTGAAAAATTTGAAATTTTTCCTATATTGCTTTTACCTCTGGGTTTTGTTTTAAGAAATCTTCCCCCACCACTAAATCTTAAAGGTATTCTTGTACATTACATTATATTAATGTTTAAACTTGACTTTATCAATTTAGTCCATCTGGAGTTCAACTTTATATTAACGTTAGGAAGAGAAAACAGTTTTATTTCCTCCATGTGGAGCAAATTTTATGAACATTAGTTTTGCTTTTATTATTGAATTTTATTTTGGGAAAGCAAAATGATTGTAATTTTTGCCTGAGTACAATGATCAATGTGGTTATGTCACAGGGTTTGACCTGAATATTTTAATATTCTTTAGCTGAAGAGGAGGCAAATGAAGAAGATGTACTGGGAGATGAAACAGAGGTGAGTTGGAGAGAGTAAGGTTAGTGACTGGTCTGGTAGTGTGTCACTGCCTTGGCTACATTGTTTAACATCAACCATTAGAAGACTTAAATGCCAACTTGCTAGGGGAGAGTAGTGGGGGAATGAAGTTTCTGAAAGACTGATTCAATTTGAAGTTCTTACAGTCTTCTGTTGACAGGTTTTTGCTCTTGATTTGTGTTAACCATCCTGTTTCATTTGTTTTCAGGAAGAAGAACCAAAGCCCATAGAACTGCCTGTGAAAGAGGAAGAACCCCCTGAAAAAACTGTTGATGTGTAATTATCTCTTTTTTACAATCTGAGTACAGAGCAGATAGTTCTGGGGTTTTTTTTTGTGGGGGGCATAGTGTTTCACTTTGTTTACCTTTTATGGCTTTTAAAAATTTTTCATTACCTTAGCAAGAGCCTAAGGTAATTTTCAGAAGAGCCTATTTCATTTCAAGTACATGGTCTCAGGGAAGCAAAATAGTTTGTCTCTGGGTTCTGTAATAGATGATTAGGACCAGGAGACTTCAAGCCCAGACCAAGTGTAGGTCTCCTAGCCTTGTTGTATCACCATAATAAATTATTCTCTTTCTGTATAGAGAATCATACAGATTCTCTGCATAGAAAGGGTTTTGTAAGGGAGGAGGGTGCTGACCAGGGATTTTTGTGTCTCAGGTAACACTGTTCTGTTTCTTTTTGATTTATAGGGGAGTAGGGGAGAACAAAGTACTAAAGTGGAAAGTAGATTTTTATTTATTTTTCTAAAAATTTTTATTTATTGCCTTGGCTGGTGTAGCTCATTGGATTGAGTGTGGGCCTGCGAACCAAGGGTTAGTGGTTTGATTCCCAGTCAGGGCACATACCTGGGTTGCAGACCAGTTCCCAGCAGGGGACACACGAGAGGCAACCATACATTGATATTTCTCTCCCTCTCTCCTTCCCTGCCCCTCTAAAGGTAAATAAATAAAATCTTAAAAAAAAATAAAACCAAAAAAAATTTTTTATTGATTGATTTTAGAGAGGAAGGGAGAGAGAGAGAAACACCTGTTTGTTGTTACACTTGTTTACATATTCATTGATTGATTCTTGTATGTGCCCTGACTGGAATCGAACTCACCACCTTGTTGTATCAGCACAATGCTCTAATGAACTGAGCTACCAGGGCAGATCTCAGTTTATTTAAACTACTCCACAGTGTTATCATAAACATTTTTTATTTTGGACTGTTTCCACAGATGTCTGGCCATCTTATACTCTAGCATATTAAGAACAGTTGAGTCCTTTTTAACATTTTTGTTCTTCATAGCTGTATGAATGCACTTCGTTATAAAAGGCTAACCTTTTGGTTATAAAAGGTTATAATAATGTGGACTAGTAAAAAAATTAAACAGTACATACACTTAAGTACCCCTTGTTTTCACTTCCATCTGATTAAAAACTAGAGGTTTTTAATCTTGTCTTTTGTAATGTTTTACATGGTGTGTGTGTATATATGAGTTTATACAGATATATACGTACACACAATGCAGATAGTTGGTTTCTTGATTTTTTTCCTTCCGCATCTGGAGATCTTTCTGATTCATACAGTAACATTCTTATTTAAATGTTAGTTTTGTACTAGGTAAGGTTCTAAGTGTTATGCATGTGTCTTCCTTTAATCTTCACATCAATTCAGTGAAATAGGGGTAATTATCCTAGTAAGTGGTAGGTCTCCTTTTTTTTAGCTTGTGGTTATGGGAAGTGTGTTATGTACAAGTTAGGGGAGTAGTGTAATAGACCCTTCAGTACTTATCTACCCACATGTAGTAGTTATTAGCTTAGAACCTTATTCTTTCTAGAAGCTAATAGTACTCCATTCCAGGGATGAACAGTAATTTCACCAGTTTCCTGTTGGTGGGCATTTAGATTATTCATAATAGCAAGAAATGCAGTTCTACATGTCCTTATGCTGAAACTTTTTTTAAAAAGGTTTGGTTTTATTTATTTTTTAGAGATGGGAATGGAGAGAGAGAGTGGGAGAGAAACATCAGTGTGTGGTTGCCTCTCATGCGCCCACTCATTTGGAGCCTAGCCCACAATCCAGGTGTGTGCCCTAGACTGGGAATCGAACCTGCGACCCTTTGATTTGCAGGCTGGTGCTCAAACCACTGAGTCATACCAGCCAGGGCTGAAACTGTATTTATATGCATACAAGTATGTTTGTAGGATAAATCTCTGGATTTGCTGTATGACAGGGAATATGCATTTAATTTTTTACTAGATTTTATCAAATATTACTGTTTTCAAAAGCCTTTAGTTATCTTCCACTGTAGGAGGTATATGTCTACATATAATGCTTTTAGAAAATGATTTATGGGATAGCTTTTCAAAATAGAGATGTTTTGCCCTGATTGGTGTGGCTCAGTTGATTGGTTGTTGTTCAGGGCACATGCCTAGGTTGCTGGTTCGGTCCCCTGTCCGGGTGTATTCTAGATGCAACGATGTCTCTCTCTTATCAATATTTCTTTCCTTGTTTTTCTCCCTCCCTTCCCCTCTCTCTAAAATAAGTGAAGAAATAAAGAAGTAAATAGAATAGAAATGTTTTGGGGACTTCTGGGACAAGAAGGCAATCAGGTAAATACAAGGATAGTTGGCTTGTGTGGTTTAAAAATAATGAAATTGCCCTGGCTGATGTGGCTCAGAGGATTGAGCTCTAGCCTGCAAACCAGGGGGTCACTGGTTCGATTCCCAGTCTAGGGCACATGCCTGGGTTGTGGACCAGGTCCCTAGTAGGGGGCGTGTAGAGACAACCACATGTTGATATTTCCCTCTCCCTCCCTTCCCCTCTCTAAAAATAAATAAATAAAATCTTTAAAAATATTTAAAAAATAAAAATAATGAGATTGAAAATTTGTAGAAGTTCATTATCCTTTGAATGTGTAAAATGTAATTTGTTTAAAGGATTTTAATTTTATTAATGAATTTCTAAACAGGGAAGTTGAATGTGTGTGGGGTTGGTGATTTTGTTTTTCAGAGGGAAGTAATGGTTAGACTAAAATATCTACAGTGCAGAAAGGTTCTGGGTCCTTTTAGTTTAGGTAATGTTTTGTGGCTATGGGTTGGAGAGAAATTTCTCAGTGAAGAGATGAAATTTCACGAGTCCCAGAATGTGATGTATTTTTATTGCTTGGGCTGAATTGTGCCTGAGGGCGTTAGAATGAAACAGGAGGAGGCTTTCTCTCTGGGGTTCCCTTTTTGCTAAGGCATACTGCAGTAATTGTGGTTTAAGACAGGAATGTGAAGGAAGTCATTAACCTGGGGTTGGTGGAAAGAACTGCTTTCTTGATGGCATTGGACTTCAAGAAAAACATTAAACTCCAGTATCCCTTCTTGCTTCAACAAGACAGGGTTGGGGAAGGCAGAATGACCAGGAAATGGGAAGAATTCAGAAATTTCTTTAAAAGTCAGAATATTTAGGGCTAATTTAGGTCCTTTGAACATTCAAGAGGAGGTCCCCTTACCTTATCTTTGTTTGGTTTGCAGGCCCATACTCAATCCACTGAGCTACACCAGGCCCCCTTGTGTTATCTTTCGCTTGAGGATCTCCAAAAAATATTTGTTTCATTTGATTTCTTTTTTTTTTAAATTTTCTTGTCAAATCAGTTAAATATTGTAGGACTTAGTTATGGTCAGCAGGGGGCACCCATTGCTTATTTGTCAGTTCTGGGACATCCAACAAAAGGATGGAACAGAGAGTAAGTTCCTGTTCCAGAATTGCTTCCTCTGAAAATGCCATTAAACCCTTACTACCTTTCAAGGCATCAAATGCCTTGATAAATGTCTGGGATATTGGAACAAAAGCCGCCCATGTCTCTAAATGAGGGACCTTAATGAGACTGGTTATGACCCACAGTTTTATGAGAGTTGTTTGGTGGAAGGTTAATGCCCTTCCATTTATCTTGGGTACTTCCGAACTTTGTCTCCCACCCCTATGGTCCCCCCTCTTTTGTTTTCTCTTAAGCCTTTGACTGGTAACTTAACATGTTTTCCTAATTCAGACTCCCTTAGCCTTTTTTCTCCCCATTCCCTTTGGCATTTTTATTTGTCCCACTTTGATTGTTTCAGCTATAGTCTTTAGGGGAAGAATAAAAGATTTGTAAAAGAAAAAAAACAAGAGCATGTAGAACACACATTAATTGTTTTTGTGATGAAAATTGAGAGCTGGTGTTTAAATGAGGTTTGGAGGAATAGTTACTAGTCCAGAAGTAAATTTAAAGTTCCTAAAAGTAAATCAAATGGTTTTTAGTATCCTTTGAATACTTTCCTTCAGCCCAATGTATTTAACCAGATTTCTTTCCTAATAACTTGCACATACTTTAGTAATGTAGCTTAGTCTGTTAGTGAACTCTTATAAATAGGTGACAGTCCTAGGAACTGAAGGTGTAATTGGCTTCATGGTTTTTTGGACTAATGGGTGGCAGATATGGAGCAGAGGACATGATTTGAGTGAGTTCTTCTACAATTCTTAAGTTTTGGGTTAGAGCATCAGTTTTCTAATTTAAAAAATCTCTTTCCTCTTCTCCAGGGCATCAGAAAAGAAAGTGGTAAAAATTACATCTGAAATACCACAGACTGAGGTAGGCATTTTGCTCCCTCGTAGAAGAGCAGTGTTTCTCTATATCTTTTCACTTGTTACCCTTTATTCTCTCTGTATTACCACTTTAAAAAATTTACTCATTGGTAGATAATCAGTATTGACAGATTTTGCTATTGATAGGTTTTTCCACCAGCTACACTTGAGAAAATATTTGGCTAGCATAAATTACCTTCGAAGCCCTAGTTTATTTTATATATAGAACTATGGTCTTAGTGGTTTCTTTAGGATGTTTGCAAACTAGGATTGGAGTCTTGGGGGGATTGTACCTTGGAAGAGATAAATAGTAGAAAGTGAAGCTACCACCTTTAAGTTACAAATCACTAGTTGGTGAGATTGAAATTTCTCTGGATTCTGTCTTAAGATCTCTAAAATTAGGTTCCACTTGATATCTGTGTTGTTTTTTTGTACCTTTAAAGTAAAGGTGGCAAAGGACAGCACTGCCTCATTTCTAACTAAAAGAGTACCACCAGTGTTGGAACCAAGCTGTTCCTTTGATCCCTTTTCAGAGGTCAGCTAGACATTGCTTTTTGTCTCCTTGGCTTCGTGAAGAATGTGGGTTTTATTTTATTCCTTCTCTTTTGTTTTTGAGGATATGAATGTAATAATAGGCTTTTTGTGTTTACTTTTTGGAAAAGGCTGTTAAGTCCTCAGATGGTTATAACCTAATATCTTCTAGGATTATCAGTATTCTCAGTTTAGACCTTAAGAAATTACTCCTGATGTTCTAAAGATACACACCTCTAAACAACTTTTCTCTTAAAAGTAGGAATCCAGAAATTTTCTTTTTCTTTTTTTTTTAAAGATTTTATTTATTTATCTTTAGAGGGGAAGGGAAGGAGAGAGGGAGAGAAACATCAATGTATGGTTGCCTTTGGTGTGTCCCCTGCTGGGAACTGGCCTGCAGGGAACCAGCCTGCAACCCAGGCATGTGCCCTGACTGGGAATCGAACCGCGATTGTCTTGTTTGCAGGCCTGCGCTCAATCCACTGAGCTACACCAGCCAGGTTGAAATTTTCTTTCCCTTTCTTTTGTCTATTATCACTTAGAGAATGCAGAAGAGAGCTGAACGATTCAATGTACCTGTGAGCTTGGAGAGTAAGAAAGCTGCCCGGGCAGCTAGGTGAGTGTCCCCAGCCTTTCAGACCTGAGATAGTGCTGGTATGAAGGTGAAGGGCTGTAATCCTCGGTTTGAAATACAATTGTTGACTTTATTTATTTTTTTAAGATTTTATTTATTTGTTAGAGGTGAAGGGAGGAAGAGAAACATTGATGCGCTAGAGAAACATTGATAGGTTGCCTCTTGCATTCCCTCACTTGGGGACCTGGTCTGCAACTGAGGCATGTGCCCTGACTGGAAATTGAATCGGCAACCTTTTGGTTTGCAGGTCGGCACTCAACTCACTGAGCCACACCAGCCAGGGTGTAAATACAGTTGTTGACTTTAAGTAGGATATATGCTTTGCTGAAAAGAAACGTTTTTGCCCTGGCTGGTGTAGCTCAGTGGATTGAGCGCAGGCCTGCGAACCAGACAATCGCGGTTCGATTCCCAGTCAGGGCACATGCCTGGGTTGCAGACCTGTTCCCTGCAGGCCAGTTCCCAGCAGGAGATGCACAAAAGGCAACCATACATTGATGTTTCTCTCCCTCTCTCCTTCCCTTCCCCTCTGAAGATAAATAAATAAAATCTTAAAAAAAAAAAAAAAAGAAACGTTTTTTTTGCTCCATTGATGGAACTCTATTGTTTTGGATATCATTGCTGTAGATGGGTTTTATTATCAAGCAGGGGTTTGTAATAGGCAAAAGTCAGGAACTGCTCCCAATTCTGTTAAGGCTTTTTTTTTTAAGCTTATTATCTGGACTCTTGGTGAGAAAAAGAGTAAAAGAGACTTCTTTCATGGGCTTGTTAGAATTAGCTAATGATTGCAAGGCTTGAGATCACAAGCAAGAAGTGCCATGTGTACACTTGACACGGAGACCAGGCGTGTGAACAGCTTCCTAAAACAGCTTGTTTTTCTTTCTACAGATTTGGGATTTCTTCAGTTCCATCAAAAGGTAAGCATCCAGAGACTCTTCTAAGGTTACCTCTACAGTTTTATTTTCTGGCACAACAGATTTTATTTCTTCTCATTAAGGTAAACTTGTTAGCTCTGGAAGCCTTTAAAAAGAGGTTATAACATTTAACTCTTTGCTTTAGGTAAAACTGTCCTTAAGCCTTCCTGGGCAATTTAGAGAAGGTACTGAAATTATGAGAATAAGAAGTGCCAACATTTGTTTTCCTTTTCTTGGACGTTTTCAGAGAAGTTTCTAGTACCGTTCTTATTCTAGAGTCTCAGATCAGCATATAATTAGTATGTGTACCTGTCCAGTGTTACATTGTTTAGTGTAGTGGTAAAGGGAAAGAGAATCTTTTTTTACCTCAACCATCTTAACTTCTTGGGAATTTACAAGGAAATAATCTTGGATATACTTTCAAGACTTAGCCACAAAGATGATCATCCATTAATTATAGTGTTTAGCAACTGGACACAATGTGATATACAGTAGAGAATTGGTTAAATAAATGTGTACGATAGTATAATGGAAGACCATGCAGATGTTAAAAATTATATTGAAGACTATTTGCCAGAAAGATACTAAGTGAAAAAGGCAAATTATACATTTGCAGTGTATTTCCATTTTAGTAATAAAAATGCATATATGGAAAGGAAAAAAGATTAAAGGGATATTATACTAAATTGTTAATACTTATTATTTCTGGTAGGTAGAGTTTTGAGTGACTTCTTTCTGCTTGTCTGTTTTTTAGAATTTCTGTAATGAATGTGCATTTTGTTATAAATTGGGGGGAAAGTTGTTTTTTAAAGTCACATAATCAGCCCTGGGTGGTGTGGCTCAGTGGATTGAATGCCAGCCTGTGCACCAAAGGGTTGCTGGTTCAGTTCCCAATCAGGGCAAATGCCTGGGTTGTGGGCCAGGTCCCCAGTAGGGGGTGCTTGAGAGGCAAGCACACATTGATGTTTCTCTTCCTTTCCTTCTCCCTCCCTTCCCCTTTCTCTAAAAATAAGTAAATAAAATCTTTAAAAAAATTAATTAAAGTCACATATAATCAATCCCTGTTCCAAGCGACCTAAAATTTAAATGTAGTCTCTGAATGCAATCCAGTCTTCCTAGTGATCTATTAGTAGTTTCAAGTATGTTAAGAAAATGCCCTCCATACCTGGCTGGTGTAGCTCAGTGGATTGAGCGCAGGCCTGCGAACCAGACAATCGCAGTTCGATTCCCAGTCAGGGCACATGCCTGGGTTGCAGACCAGTTCCCTGCAGGCCAGTTCCCAGCAGGGGATGCAGGAAAGGCAACCACACATTGATGTTTCTCTCCCTCTCTCCTTCCCTTCCCCTCTAAAGATAAATAAATAAAATATTTTAAAAAAAAGAAGGAAAGAAAGAAAATGCCCTCCAGCCCTGGCTGGTGTAGCTCAGTGGATTGAGCATGGGCTGTGGACCAAAGAGTCACTGGTTCGATTCCTAGACAGTACACAGGCCTAGGTTGCAGGCCAGGTCCCCAGTGGGGGGCCACATGAGAGGCAACCACACATTGATGTTTCTCTAACTCTCTCCTTCCCTTCCCCTTTTTCTAAAAATAAATAAATGAAATCTTTTAAAAAAATGCCCTCCAATGATTTTACAGTGTTTTGCTGTGCTTTTTTAAAAGACCAGCAAAATTCTGTCTACTATCACTCTATGTTTTAGAAATAAGATACTTTCTGTTTTTTAGTTATGTCAAGAGATATAATAGGATTGGTGATAGTAACAACAAAAATTACTAGACATTAGATGGTACTATTTGAAGAAAGAAGAAAAGTTCAGATTAATTCCTAGTCTGAAAAGGAATCCTGATCAAGGAAAATAAAATAATGTATATATAACATTTACAGCATTGTAAAATTCTGACATCATAGAACTACAGAGTATACCTCTTAAAAGAATGGAACATTTAAAAGGAGTTAGAGTTTTATAAATGAGAGCATAAAAACACCTAATAGTTCTTACTACACAGGTTATGGTAAAAGTTGAGTCCATACATAAAATGTTGGCTCTGGCTGGTGTGGCTCAGTGGATTGAGTGCCAGTCTGCTCAGATAAAGATCATTGGTTCAGTTCCCAGTCAGGGCACATGCCTCAGTTGTAGGCCAGGTCCTCGGCTGGGGACCTGTGAGAGGTCTACCTGATCTATGTATCTCACTCATCGATGTTTCTTTTCCAGTCTTTAAATTAAAAAAAAAAAGTTTACAGTATTAGGGAACCAATTATAAAATAAAAATTTTAAAGCTTTAAATAAATAATTGTGGACTAGATTAGGGTTAGTCCTATAGGCCAGTCAATGTACTACTTAACTTAGTGATAATTTCAGTGCAGAACATTGTTTTAAGGAGGCCATAATGTTAACTCAGTGATAGTAATTCTGCTCTTTTTTCCAGATATGCCATTTTTGTCTTGTTTTTAAAATAGCCTTATTGAGATAGAATTTATATGCCATACAAGTTCATTCATTTAAAATCTATAATTTGCTTTTTTGTTTTTTTGGCTTTGTTTTGTTTTGTTTTGTTCATAGGGTTGTGCAGCCATTATCACAGTCTAATTTTAGAACATATCCATCACCCAAAAAAAAACCCCTGTACCCATTAGCAGTTGTTTTCCACACTTTCCCCAAAGTAACCAGTGATTTTTTCTATATCTATAAATTTACCTTTATGTAAATCAAATCCATACAATTCATGTTATTTCATGACTCAATTTTTTCACTTAGCATAATGTGTTTAGGGTTCATTCATGTTGTAGCATGTATCAGTACTTCATTTCTTTAAAAAAATGTATTTCTAGAGATGGGAAAGGAGGGAGAAAGAGAAGGAAAGAAATATCATATCTGTTTGCTTCTCACATGCACCCCCAGGGACCCTGCCTGCAACCCAGGCATGTGCCCTGACTGGGAATCGAACCAACAACCCTTTGGTTCATAGTGTAGCACTCAGTCCACTGTGCCACACCATCCAAGGCTCATTTCTTTTTATCGTTGGATAATATTCCATTGTATGGATATACCATATTTTATTTTACCTATTCATCAGTTGATGGACATTTGGGTTGTTTTCACTTTTTGGCTACTATGGACAGTGCTTATATATGAACATTTATATACAAGTTTTTGTGTGAATGTATGTTTTTGTATTTTTTTTTCTGGGTACCTAGGAATGGAATTGCTAAGTCATATGATAAACTCTTATGTTACCTATTTTGAGGAACTGCCAAATTGCTTTCCAAAGTGGCTGTATTATGTTCTTGGTGAATGCAGATATGATCTCTGGATGCAATTTGTCTTTCCTTTCTCACCATAAAAGACATTTGTCTTATAAACTATTTCTATGCTGTCTAATTTGATTTGAAAACTGAACTTCCTTTATGACTTTTTAAAATATTAAATAAAACCTTTTTCTTTTTTAGGCCTGTCATCTGACACCAAGCCTATGGTAAGAATCCTTTTTTTATACCTTTAGAGCCAAAGCTTAACTCTATGCAGTTAGTTTTAAAGTTAGAGACTCCTCCTTTTCCCCAGGTCAGAGGAAACTCAGATCATATGAGCTTGGTGACCGTTTTCAGTAGTGTTTTATGTCCTGAATAAAAGGAATTGTTTGAGATACTGAGAGGTCAGGAAAATTGCCACATCTTCAAAAATGCTATAGCAATCTTTCTACCATTCCTCTTGGAAAAATGAGTAGATTTGTTAGAGAGCACAGTTTATGTAACACTGTGTTTTATGGTACTAGAGTTTTAGGTCTTGTCAAATGGCTTTGGATAATGTCTAATTCTTAATTACCACAAGAGAATCTGTGAAAGCAATTTAATGAGTTCTACTTATAGATAGTGGTATTTTAAAATACTCCCTAGTAAACATAAAATGGGAAAATAAAGACTAAGTAGAATAAGACACCTCTGGGCCATTGTGACTACCAAGTATGTTTAGAAAATGGAAACAAATGGCGTGGTAAAATATGTTCAGTTCTCTGAAATCTTGCTCTTGCGGTCACAACTTAATGAAAATGTTTAAAATACTTTCGCCATTGCGGCCTCATTCATGAGTATTCTCAGGTTTCACAAGAGGCTTACCTCTAGTGTCTTTTGCTGGCAAAAGAAGGTTGGTTTGAACTCCAGTAAGACCAGTGAAATCACCAAAGCCAACTTCCCAAGATCAGATTTGGAAGCTGGTCAAAGATGGACTGATCATCTGGAAGTCTGTGATTATCCATTTCTGGGCTTGATGCCAGGAAAACATTTTGGCCTGCAAGAAGGGCAGGTATATGGGTGAAGTAAGGCATAGGGGACACTACCAGTGCTTGAATGCCTGAGGAAGTAACCTGGATGAGGAGGATGAAAATTCTTTGCCCATTGCTCAGAAGACAGTTAATCTAAGAAGATTAACCACCACATGTATCATAGCCTAAACCTGAAAGTGAGAGGTAATATGTTAAAAAAAAGACAACAAACAAGTAGATTCTTGCCCTGACTGATGTGGCTCAGTGGGTTGGGCATCAAACCACCAACCAGAAGTTCACTGGTTCAATTTTTGGTTAGGGCACATTCCTGGGCCTTGGTTGTGGGCCAGGTCCCCAGTTGGGGGCGTGTGAGAGGCAACCAACCAATGGGTGTTTCTTTCCCTCTCTTCCTTTCTTCTCTCTTAAAATAAATAAAAGCTTTTTTGTATAAGTGGATTCTTATGGAACACATTCACAAGCTAAAGGCAAACAAGGCACACAGAAATATCTGGCTGATCAGGCCAAGCCCTGCCAGGTATAAGGCCAAGGAAGCATACAAGTGCCGTGTAGAATGGCTTCAGGTCAAGAGTAGATCATCAAGACTTTGTCCAGGAGGAAGAGACCAAGAAATAAAGCCTAACGTCTTCTACCTGTACATAGTGGCCTTGACAATTACAAACATAATCATTCAAAATAGCCCTTATCTTACTTAATGAGAAAAGAAAAAAGTCCCAAATATACTCATGATAATAAGTCTTGATATATCAAAGCTTCCAAGAAAAATGAAAAAAAAAAAGCCAAAAAAACCAAAAATGAGTGGAATATGGTGGTAGATTTGTCTTCTGAAGAAAGTAGATGTGTAGAGATCATTTCTTTTTGCCAAAAGATAGAATCAAGAACTATTTGCACCGACTAATCAAGAACTATTTGCACCGACTATATAGAACTTAATGATTTTTGACTGTGAATGGTAGACATACTTGGAGGTGATGATTTAGACATTTGTTTGCTTTTTCCAGCAGTGTTTTCCTACTTTGATTTTAAATCCCCTCCTCAGGTTCTTACTACCTTTGAGGAATGAAGGAGGCAGAGGTGAATCTTTCACTACATTCCAGAAAAGGCCTTTTAATAATTAGTGGCATGGGTGATTGCTGATTAGTTTCCTGATTTTGCACATGGGTTATCTTTGATGTTGTAGTCTTAACTCTTATCTGTGGACTATAGTTTCTGCTTTCCGTACTTCCTGTTTTGATTTTTTAATACAGGTTTTTTTGTTATTGTTATTTTTGTTTTCATGTTTTTGGTTCCCCCATGTTTTTGTAGGTTAACCTGGACAAGCTAAAGGAAAGAGCTCAAAGATTCGGTTTGAATGTCTCTTCAATTTCCAGAAAGGTAAAGTACTGTTTTTGCAACATTAGAGCAGCTTAGGGGCTACTAGTGGGAGAAGTGTAACACTTTGTTTCACACAATCCTTAACCATCATCTCCCTCACTGGCTATTGAATACAATGCAGGAATTATTTCACAAACCTAATTGTTTCCAGATTGTTTTCGTAGCTTCTACTCAGGCTTTTTGAGCATATACTCTGTATTTCTCTTGGTTGTTGAAGTGGCAGGGTTAAGGGAAGAATGTTTTAAACCAGAAAAACCATCATTGAAAAAAATGATTAGCTCTGATTGGTCTGGCTCAGTGGATCAAGCTCCAGCCTGCAACTGAAGGGTCACCTGTTCACTTACTGGACAGGACACATACCTGGGCTCCAGGCCAGGTCCCCATTCGGGAGCATTTGATATGCAGCCAAACAGTGTTTCTTTCCCTGTCTTTCTCTCTACCTTCCCTTCTCTTTATAAATGAATGAATGAATTTTTAATGACTATTTTCCATTTGCATATGGAAATACTGACTTCTCTGGAAATTCATTGGAGAAACTGACCTGTCAGTGGTTATGTTTTAGCCCTGGCTGGTGTAGCTCAGTGGATTGAGCGAGGGCCTGAGAACCAGACAATTGCGGTTCGATTCCCAGTCAGGGCACATTCCTGGGTTGCAGGCCAGTTCCCTGCAGGCCAATTCCCAGCAGGGAACGCATAAAAGGCAACCATATATTGATGTTTCTCTCGCTCTCTCCTTCCCTTCCCCGCTAAAGAAAAATAAATAAAAATTAAAAACAAAACAAAACAAAACAAAAAACGAGTGCTAAAAAGTAAACATTTGTGCTCCTGTAGGGCTCATAACTGCTTACAACTGTGTTTCATCTTCCTTTCAGGTTATATATTTAATGTTTACCAGAAATACAACATCAGCTCTGTGTGCCCAGCTTGATGCTGAGATCATAGGTATTCAGAAGAAATATTTGCTGGTTTATGTGAAATTTTTAAAAATTTGGAGTTGAGGCGTAGACAGAGTGTGTGATTCTTAAACCATATACAGATTAATTGGGAAGAATGATTATAAACCCTAAATCATTTGTGTTTTGCTAGATGGCCAAGAAAGGGTGCCTTGGATCTGTGGCCCTCGTTCTCATCTATCTTCTTTTGTATATGAGGGCAAGGTGTCTAAGAAGCCCAGCAGTAATTTCACTTTTCTAGGGAATTACGTGTGTTCATGTGTTCCATTAAAATCAACTAAATAGAACATCATACCTCCTATTATTCAGCTCACATTCCTGAAAGGAATTTGTCCCTCACCCATACTGTCCACCTGAGTTAGTTTGATAGCATTTTATTATAGGGATATCACCTTTTTCTTCCCTTCCCTAGAGTCTTTTTCCATATTTGACCTGATTTCATTTTCAGTCCATAGGAGACTGAACATGGTAAACATGGTATACCTTAATTTATTTTGTGACTTGGAGCAAAGTAGTAAATGTATTTGGTCCTCATCTATGAAAATGGGAGTAATACCTACTTAGCACTGTGTGAAGAGTAATTAATTATATATTGGAAATTTCCTAACATAGCGTCACTCAACCCTCAATAAGTACTAGTTTTCTTCTTTTTTTAATCTTTACCCAAGGATATGTTTATTGATTTTGGAGAGAGAGAAACATCGATGTGAGAGAGAAACATTGTTCGGTTGCCTCCTGTATGTGCCCTGGCTGGGAAAGCCGCAACTTAGGTATGTGCCCTGCCATAACTGGGAACTGAAACTGCAGCCTTTCGGTGCACAGGATGATGCTCGAACCAACTGAGCACCTGGCCAGGGCTCACACTTAGTTCAGTTCTGCTGGTCAGTTGGCTTTATGACTTTAATTTAGTCAGTTAACTTTGGTGTTTATTTGATCATTGAAAAGATTTCAATTCTCATTTTAAATCTCTAAAGGGTTATAGTTAGATAATGGTAATTGGCAGAACTCTGACCATATGAGCTCTTTTCTCTGATCCCATTCATGTCACACACATGTTCTAGCATGGTATTTCTCAGATTCTGTGGCATAGACTAGCTTTTCTAAATTTCTAATTTATTGCAAAGTTGCACTTGTATGAAATACAATATAAATGGCATAGCAGTGTTAAATTACTTTGGAAATGTCTAAACACTCAGTTTTTCGACTTACTGCAGACTGGTAACAAACAGTTTGGGGATCAGTACCAGGAGAGGTAGACCACATTTTGAGCAGCACTGTATTAGAGTATTGATTTATTCTAGGTACCAGTCTGCTTGAAGGTTTGTGATTTTTTGAGATGCCATCTTTGAGTATAGCATCTCAAAGTATAGTTCCATACACATTGATCCTAAATCCTGGTTTTTAGGATCATTCTAATTTTAATAGCTTGCTCTAATTTTCCTTGTAAACCATTAAAATGTCCCAGAAATGTAGCTATTTTGCTGTCTATACCACTACTATCTAATAGAACTTTCTGTGATGATGGAAATATTCTATAAACTATTGTTATATTGAATAATTTACTATTTAATGTAGTAATAATTAGCCACATGTGGTTATTGATCACTTAAAATGTAGCCAGTATAACTGAAATTTTTAAAAATATTTTATTTATTTATTTTTAGAGAGAGGGGAAGGGAAGGAGAAAGAGGGGGAGAGAAACATCAACATGTGGTTGCCTCTCAAGTGTCCTCTACTGGGGACCTGGCCTGCAACCTAGGCATGTGCCCTGACTGGGAATCGAACTGGTGACCTTTTGCTTCACAGGTACATGCTCAATCCACTGAGCTACACCAGCCAGGGCTGAATTTTTAATTAATTTAAGTAACCACATGTTTATTGAACTCAAGTTTAGTTTATATATATATATCTCCCACACAGCTTTTACACTTGGAAGTAGCATAGGATTTCTTTATCAGACTACATAAATTGAACCGTTTTTGTAGCCCAGAATTTTTTAGTACTTGGAGAATATAAACAGTTTTAGACTGAATCTATAGGAGAGAAATTGGAGGAACAGAAGTAAGATTACACCCCCCCCCCCCAAGTAACTTCTTTTCCAGAACTTAGTGTCCTAGATCCAAATCTTGAAATTGCAAATTGGACATGTTTTTGGTGATAGTTGCCTGGTTTGGTCGAATGTTTTTACTGTTCTTTATCACCAAAGATGATTTGTTACCTAGTATTTGGTTGGCCAAGGTAGTGATATGATTAAATTTGTATTTATGGAGCAACCAGATCAGCACACTTTGTCCACCTTATTTTAGAATCCTGGGTTCTAGTATAGCATCCTTCTACATAATTTGGCACAGATCTTATTCACTAAGATATGATGTCAATAGTGGTATGTTAGTAGATGGTGTGGAGATGTCTCTTCTTCATCCTAGTATCCTAAAGAGTACAAGGAGAAACCCACTTCCTGTCATCTCCATGTCACAGGGTGTGTATTTACTTGATCCAGCTAAAGAACCTAATTGCTTGCTGCTGTCTCTTCAGTAGATTTTACTGCAGACCAGTATATATGATAAAGAGAAAGTGTATGAAAGGGAAGTAAGCCATAGATCAATGCTATTTATGACTAATTTTTAACTTTTAACTTTTGTAATTTGATTATCTCTGTATCTTAGATTTGCTTGTGCATATTATACATTTGAGGATACTGAGTCTCAGCTTTTCTTCCTAGGCTGACTTATGCATGACTGTGTGTATATATTAGTTTTTAGTTCCACTAGTATACTTTACACATTAGACAGTGCACAGAAACTTAAAAGAAATCTATCTTCTCCCACTCCCCAATCATCCCTCTTTTGCCCTGCCCAAGAAAGGTCTGTCCATTCATGTTTTCAGCTCAAGTCTCAATGAATAGAATCTTGTTGGTTTAGGATAAAGGGAAGTGATGGGGCAAAGAATGGCATTGGCATTTATAGACATTTTTTATACAAGAAACTATAAATTGTCCCCTCCAAGTCTGGATTATTTAAGGATAGAATGGCATGCCTTTTGTCATATAAACCTCATGGTGATTATGGGCTGAGAAACCGCCTACCCCTCAAACAAAACAAAATGCAGTTAATAACTACTGCCTGATTGGTTCTGATTGATCATCTGCTAAGTTTTCAGTCTTGTGCTTGATTGTTGTTGTCCCCCACCCCTCCTTCACTTTTCCATGCCCCCCAAGAGAAAGAGTGTTGTAAGTTAGTCCTGTTGGTATAGGACAGGACTTGGCCTGGCACGTAAGAAATTCATTTGTGAAAGGAATGGAAGAGATGGATAGAGGGAATAGATGGTAAGCCAGATCAGGTAATATATATTGGTCATAGGATGTTAGTTTTTGGTAAAAACTTAAGTCTGGGTCTAGAGTTACAGTGTTCACTGAAGTAGCTAATTTGAATTTGTTTTTTATTTTACTTTGTTTTCAAATATTGGCACATTTGGGAAAGTGAAACTTGATACTTTAGGAAGTTACAGGAAATTCAGCTTGGTAAATATTAAAAACAACGGCAACAAACAAACCCAGGCACTAAGCAGAAAACTGGAATGTGGTTTATACTCCTTTCCCATCCTGGGAATGTGAGGAGCATGTGTTACTACTTATTCTAATAGCAGAAGAAAATATAAGCATCTTATATCCCTGTTAATCTTAATACATCATCTTTCTCTACTATAGTATTAACTGGGTTTTCTTTACTCGTAGCTCTTCGTATAGCTAACTGTGCTAATAATTTATCTTAAGGCTTATAAACCCTGAAGGTTGCTTTTCCCAGGTTTGTGATTTTTGCCAGTTTCTTCCCTGATAATGTGTCTTAAATTATATAGTGTCAGAATATAAAGATTGAAAACAAACTATCCCTCCAGGGGCCATCTTCTTGTTGATAAGGCTGGTAACTAGAAGGTTCTTGGGTAGATGCAGTGATTAGTTTCGTAAGTCTTTCATATAACTGTATATTCTTGATTACCCACTGGTAGGGGATAAATCTCTTCAGAGTGAGAGAGAAATTAGACCTGCCTT